GGTGGGCGGGTTCTTAACACTGAGCTAACTACAGTGCCACCGCTCTTGACACAGACATACACTCACACACATGTTAGGAATGAACACGCGTTTCGAAAGTCAATTTGTTTGAACCTCGGAACTCAATATTACATTTTATGTACTGCACATACTGGACGTAGAAATTGTTACCGCAAAAAAATATTAAGCATTGTTAAACTCATAAATAAGTAGTACTTTAGCGCGTAAAACTATTATAAATGCTGTAGGGCATATAAGTTATGCAATAAAGTAACTTGAAAAGAAAAACATCCGTCTCATTTTCACTTTGAGTGTTCATGCTGATCTGCTTGTCGGAAGGGGCATACTACGTCCTCAAAAATGCACACACACACGGGAGCACGCATACACAACGGCAAATATAAAGATCCCCCATACAGCCTTAACAGCCTGTAGGGGCAAGTGCTGTTAGCGAGCACCTATGAAGGCCGGAACGATACACGAGGGGGTGGGTGGCCAGCACCACGCCCGACCGCCTTTGTCTCCCTAGTGGCAATGTTTATACACCGCACCGAGTCGACCTAGGGGAGGCCCAGGACCGGTTTAGATAATCGTCACTAGTGTTGGCCGTGAGCGGGAATCGAATCCAGGACGCCGGGTTCGTAGCGCAGCTGTGCGGGCTACCGTCCCCCGCCATCGCTGAATTGTCGGGGCCGCTGCCCACCGACTCCCCCGTTCCACTCACACCGCTACCCCCCGGCTGCTCCGTCAGGTCCAAACTAACGACCCCTAACGTCTCGCCCCCCTGTACCTCTGCCTGGGATGTAGACCGCGTTTGCATAGTTTAATTAGCGGCTCGTACGCTCCGCGCTTGAGATGCGTTACACTGTGCAAAGGCGGGGTGGGGCTGTAAGCGCGCTCGCCAGTAAATCTCCGTCCCGCCCGTAAACAAACAGGCGCGGCGCGTGTTTCCCTCCCACCCGCGCTCCACGTGTGCCGACAATAACAAACACGCCCCTACCCTCTGCCCGTAAACAGACCAATCGCACACGAAGGGGTTGGAGCCGGGGGACGGGCGGGCAGGGTTTCTGCCGTGCGCGCCGCTGATTGGGGACGCTCGCTTGGCTCTGAGTTAAAGGTCCCGCTCAAACAGTGGCGCGAATACGCGCGCGCTCGGCGCTCTAACTCGCTATCTCACGACCAGACCCGTGTGCGGGTGCGTGACCGCGGCACCGCCACCCAGGTACGCGATCGCTAAGCACTATGGTGGGCAATCGTGCGGGCACGTAAACACCCCACGCTTCGTCTCGAGGTGCACAGCCGCGCATACACGTAGACACCCAGCGCACACTGCCCTCCACTTCACACTCCCAAAAGACCACGCAACACAGTTTTTTCCCCCCACTAGCGAATTTTATTTACCTGTGATGGTATGGTCAGTGGACGCTAATCTATCCCTCGGAGGTCTACGAGTCGATTTCCCCTACCGCTCGCCCCGCTCTCTATCCTGGATGTAAAACGGCTGAACTTACGCCTCTCTCACTCGTACTTACTTCTCCCCGATGTACTGACCGTTGTGAGGGAATGAGGCGACGAGCCTGTCGATGCTGGAGTACGTCTCACGGACGTCTCGGATGGCTGACTCTCCTGCTCCCGGGACCGCGATGATCTTGAACCAGAAGAAGAACCCCCCTTGCTACCCCAATCCCCCTCCTTTTTATCCTACCTACAACAAAGGAATTTTTGCTCTTTCCGACCCTTGGCCTCCCGTCCAATCAGGGGCACGGATTCTCCCGCCCTTTCGATGTCCGGATCCCAGCTCAGATGACGTCGCCGCAGTGATCTCACCGACGTCCGCTCTCTGTTCTCCCGCTACCAGTCCACTGACCCGTGCATGTGTGAGGCTCCACTCGCGGTGGTTCGATGGCCCTTGCCGCGACCATGCAACTTTAATATCAGGTCGCGGCGCCGCAGTGCATGTCAGCTACAGGGGGGAAGATCGCCCAATTTCCCGGCCGCAGGAAACCATGAAGTTCGATCCCACTAGGGACTTCTGGACAAAAACCTATCAGCCGGGTCCTGGCTCTACGTGGGGCGTGTGTACGTTCGTGTGGGGGGGGGGGGGGGGGGGGTGAGGGTGCGCAGCGTCGGCAGAGTGGCCCTGCTGCAGCGGCCTCACGACTGTGCAGGGGCCAAAACGCGGACGTCTGAGAAGGCACCGGCCCCGGGAGAGTGGCGGGAAATCCGCGGCATAGGTGATGGCGCCGCGGTAGTGGGCGCGGTTCCGCTGGAGCGGCTCCGCTGCGGCGGCAGCACACAGCGCGCTAACCGCTACACTACCGCTCCCCACGCGTACACACACACACAGCCACACAACAAAGATCCCCCGTATAGCCTTAACAGACTGTAGGGGCAAGTGCTGTTAGCGAGCACCTATGAAGGCCGGATCGGTACACGAGGGGGTGGGTGGCCAGCATCACGCCCGACCGCCTTTGTCGCCCTAGTGGCAATGTTTACACACCACACCAGGTACTCATTTGAGGCTGAGTCGACCTAGGGGAGGGCCTGGACCGGTTCAGATAATCGTCACTGGTGTTGGCCGTGAGCGGGAATCGAACCCGAGTTGCCAGGTTCATAGCGCAGCGCACTAACCGCTACACTACCGCTCCCCACGCGTACACACACACAGGCACACACACACTTTCACACGCACACTCACTTCCAACGGGAAGCTGGGACCCATTATATATCGAGGATGATTGCTCTGCCAAACAAAGGAGTTCCGCTGTTTAATTCGCGAGTACGTGCGAACGTTCGCAAGTCAGATGGTTAAAACAACAGCAACTGGCGGTTCAATCGTAAGGGTGGATGTTCGTCAGTCATACGTTCGTAAGTCGGGGACTGCTTGTATACCGCGCCTTCAATTTACACACTGCATCAACAACTCAAAAAAGGACTGAGACGAACTCGAACCAGTTCACATATTCGTAACTGTTATTGGGAATGAGTGGGAATCGAACTCAGGTAACCTGGCTCATCATACTACGCGAACCACAGCACCATCCTGCCTTGCGAGGAGATGGCAGTGCATCGAATGTGGACTCCACGCCTTCCATCTGTACGGACTCGAACGTTGCCCCCTCGCACGAGTGGGTTTTCTCTGGGTACTGCGATTTTTTTCCCCACTTGTAAACATTCTTTAATTCGTCGAAGTCTTCTTCGTATGAAGAGGACCGCAAAGCTTGGGGTAATTTGCTGTTTCCTCTCCCGCTTGTCTGTGGTTGGTCGCGCTTCTGAAATATTCTCTCTATTCAAGAGTGAGTGAATACTGTGAATAGCGTTTCACGTTTAAATTACACAGTATTATTGTCACAATGGGGTCCAACAAATAAAGAAATAAAAGCTACACACGACGAGTCGTGTTACCATGTGACGGGCATCACACTTGTATTTACAGCCCTCAGTGCCGAATATGGACAGCCCTTGTTCTCCATAACACCGAGTCCCCAACTCTGCCAATTGTATTCTTAATAAATAAATAGATGTATGCAATCCGACACACCTGATGACGACCGTTTGTGTTTTGGTCGAAACGTCGTGAGAATTTAAATTGTGTTATATATTTTATTATTTTATTGTTTCCTTTCAGCGTGACTTTACCGAAAAAGCTAAGAATATGAATTACTGCTGTCACGAAAGCTTTAAATCAAAATTTCTTCCATTTGTAGTCCACTAGAATATTGGCGGCACGTGACCGCCTTCCTCAACCTCATGCGGAGCGCTTCTCGGCGCTTCGCACCTCGCCCGTTGCCCCCCCACTGATGTCCTCTCCCCCCCCCCCACCCCTCCTTAATGTGTGCAGATACTATTTATTTTATTGTATGTAGGGTGTGTAGAAATTTATTTTGGCTACAAATGTAAACAAAATGGGGGGGGGGGCGGGGAAGTGCATTTTTTGGGGGGTTGACAATTTTCGGAAACCTGTTGGATCAACTTTTTACCCCCACATGTGGGGGGGGTTCACTTTCTAAAACTTTTTGAGTCAGGCCTTCTGCAAGGCTCTCATCATTTAGTTGACAGACAACGTTGCTCTTTTATAAATGATATACCGCGGGAGTGAGCATGCGTCCCCAACTCTTGAACCGGCCCGTGTCAAACTCCCACGACCGCTCTCTCTCTCTCGAGTCCAGATGCGCTACCCTGGCGTGCTCTCCCCACTTTGTCGCACTCCTGTGTCCACTCATGCCACACTCTGACTCTCCTCCACATCTCGTAAACATTCCCCTCTGTACATCGAATTGCTATATCGAACCCCCTTACCCCCGCTCACTCTCCAAGTCGCCTTAGCTCCTCCGGATCTACATTTGCTTGATGTCTACTCCACCAACGTTGCAATATTTTTCAACTCGGTTCTTGACATCTGCTATCCTACCAGCTACCTGTTTCCTACTGATTAATTATTTACCAATATACTTTCTACCCCCTTCTCATGCTATTCATCTTACCCGTACGGCCTTGTCAACCATTCACATACCCATTGTTATGCTTAACATCACGATCCTTACCCTGGCTCTTATTATCACCGTGCGTCCCCAATACTGCACTTGCTCAACCCCTACCCACGCTCTCGCTGCATGACATCCATCATTCCCAGTCTAAGATATTTCACAGGCACGGGCGTACACACAAAGATAAGGTGAAATAGACACACAGACACGGGGATAGAGAGACAGAGAAAATGCATGTTCCTTTAGTCGGTTTGGGCAGGACACGTTGTTAGTCACGAACACCAACAGTATATCTAGGTGTTACAGGATAGGTTACTCGTCACTTACACCTACAGTACATCTAGGTGTTAGAGTTCACGAGTGGAGAGACTCGAAAACTGTCACACCTAGAACTTTGTGTTTATCTTTCTGTCTCTGTATGTCCATCTCCTTGATCACACAGTGACTGAGATAGACACGTGTCCTTCAAGCATCGCATGATTGCATTCACATGCATGAATTGACTACTTTTTTTCTGTGACATTGCAAGGAATAAATTAGTTTATTTTGAATCCAATGTTAAATAAAATGCCCATTTTATAAAAAATATTACCACGTAAAATTAGTAATGCAGAGGTCACCGTGTTGAACTCAAGTGAGTAGAGGAAAGGAATGACTCCGTTAAATAAATAAATAACACATATCGACGCTAGTGACGTCACAGTCGCGTTTCTAAACCACGTGTCACAACAGGAAATCTATAACCGCGCGTCACGGCCGGAAATGATGACGTTACTAAAGGGGCTGTCTGAGCACGTGATCACACTTGGACTTTGGCGACACCAGCGGCAAGATGCTCCTGCTACTGCTGCTGCTGCAGTTGGGCCCCGTGTCTGTTGGGAACGTCTTCCCCCTCTTCGCGGGCAAGGAGGAAGGCGACGTGGACTACCCCATACCAATGCCACCATGCCCGAAACCCGACATGGTCGTAATGTCATGGACTCTCGCGTTGCTTGCGAGTTGGCTCATACTGATGGCGATTACAATCATAGGCGTCATGTCGTGTCCTCGTCAGTGCTTCGGTATATTTCCTGTGCCAGGCGCTTTCCAAACTATTCGTTCTTATCCTTGTATATTTTCAGCTATGTCAACGCACAAACAACACTACGAGCTGCTGCGTCAGGCGAATGAGGTGCAGGAGGAGCAAGTCGCGATGATGTTTCAGAAGAACAAGGTGCTGCGCGAGCGGACGGAGGCGGCGCTTCGGGAGATGGAGGCGTTGCGTCGGGAGAATATTCTGCAACAGCGAGCGATCGAGTATCACGAGACGCTGCGTCAAGAAAGCCAGACGATGCACGAGGAGAACGTGACGCTGTATCAGGAGATCGTGGCGCTGTTACAGCAGAAGGAGATGCTCCACCAGGAGATGGAGACGCTGAGTCTTGCCGCCACCACAGACGATGCCGCCACGGCCATCACTGCCGCCGCCTCCACGACCACCCTCACCAGCAGGCATCCCCACGACGACAGCCAAGACATCTAAATTTAGATGGCTCAGACAATTCTTCCTGTAAACTTTTCAATTTGGGCAGTTTAAAGATCGCTTTAGCTTCAAGTTTGCCTCAACTAAAAAGTAACGAAAAGAATACGCGAATAAGAGCCCTCGTCTCGCCTTGAACAGACTGTTGGACAAATGCTATTAGCAAGAACCAATGACGGCCAGCATCGACACAAGAAGCGGTTGTTGAACAATGCCACGCCTGAAGATCTTCATCGTCCCAGTGCTGAAGTTTATACACCGCATTAAGAACTAATTTTTAGGCTAAAATAAAAAAAAGAATTCCCAACTGTTATTGATCATAAGTTAGAATCGAACGCCGGTGGGCGGGTTCTTAACACTGAGCTAACTACAGTGCCACCGCTCTTGACACAGACATACACTCACACACATGTTAGGAATGAACACGCGTTTCGAAAGTCAATTTGTTTGAACCTCGGAACTCAATATTACATTTTATGTACTGCACATACTGGACGTAGAAATTGTTACCGCAAAAAAATATTAAGCATTGTTAAACTCATAAATAAGTAGTACTTTAGCGCGTAAAACTATTATAAATGCTGTAGGGCATATAAGTTATGCAATAAAGTAACTTGAAAAGAAAAACATCCGTCTCATTTTCACTTTGAGTGTTCATGCTGATCTGCTTGTCGGAAGGGGCATACTACGTCCTCAAAAATGCACACACACACGGGAGCACGCATACACAACGGCAAATATAAAGATCCCCCATACAGCCTTAACAGCCTGTAGGGGCAAGTGCTGTTAGCGAGCACCTATGAAGGCCGGAACGATACACGAGGGGGTGGGTGGCCAGCACCACGCCCGACCGCCTTTGTCTCCCTAGTGGCAATGTTTATACACCGCACCGAGTCGACCTAGGGGAGGCCCAGGACCGGTTTAGATAATCGTCACTAGTGTTGGCCGTGAGCGGGAATCGAATCCAGGACGCCGGGTTCGTAGCGCAGCTGTGCGGGCTACCGTCCCCCGCCATCGCTGAATTGTCGGGGCCGCTGCCCACCGACTCCCCCGTTCCACTCACACCGCTACCCCCCGGCTGCTCCGTCAGGTCCAAACTAACGACCCCTAACGTCTCGCCCCCCTGTACCTCTGCCTGGGATGTAGACCGCGTTTGCATAGTTTAATTAGCGGCTCGTACGCTCCGCGCTTGAGATGCGTTACACTGTGCAAAGGCGGGGTGGGGCTGTAAGCGCGCTCGCCAGTAAATCTCCGTCCCGCCCGTAAACAAACAGGCGCGGCGCGTGTTTCCCTCCCACCCGCGCTCCACGTGTGCCGACAATAACAAACACGCCCCTACCCTCTGCCCGTAAACAGACCAATCGCACACGAAGGGGTTGGAGCCGGGGGACGGGCGGGCAGGGTTTCTGCCGTGCGCGCCGCTGATTGGGGACGCTCGCTTGGCTCTGAGTTAAAGGTCCCGCTCAAACAGTGGCGCGAATACGCGCGCGCTCGGCGCTCTAACTCGCTATCTCGCGACCAGACCCGTGTGCGGGTGCGTGACCGCGGCACCGCCACCCAGGTACGCGATCGCTAAGCACTATGGTGGGCAATCGTGCGGGCACGTAAACACCCCACGCTTCGTCTCGAGGTGCACAGCCGCGCATACACGTAGACACCCAGCGCACACTTCACACTCCCAAAAGACCACGCAACACAGTTTTTTCCCCCCACTAGCGAATTTTATTTACCTGTGATGGTATGGTCAGTGGACGCTAATCTATCCCTCGGAGGTCTACGAGTCGATTTCCCCTACCGCTCGCCCCGCTCTCTATCCTGGATGTAAAACGGCTGAACTTACGCCTCTCTCACTCGTACTTACTTCTCCCCGATGTACTGACCGTTGTGAGGGAATGAGGCGACGAGCCTGTCGATGCTGGAGTACGTCTCACGGACGTCTCGGATGGCTGACTCTCCTGCTCCCGGGACCGCGATGATCTTGAACCAGAAGAAGAACCCCCCTTGCTACCCCAATCCCCCTCCTTTTTATCCTACCTACAACAAAGGAATTTTTGCTCTTTCCGACCCTTGGCCTCCCGTCCAATCAGGGGCACGGATTCTCCCGCCCTTTCGATGTCCGGATCCCAGCTCAGATGACGTCGCCGCAGTGATCTCACCGACGTCCGCTCTCTGTTCTCCCGCTACCAGTCCACTGACCCGTGCATGTGTGAGGCTCCACTCGCGGTGGTTCGATGGCCCTTGCCGCGACCATGCAACTTTAATATCAGGTCGCGGCGCCGCAGTGCGGCACCTATGAAGGCCGGATCGGTACACGAGGGGGTGGGTGGCCAGCATCACGCCCGACCGCCTTTGTCGCCCTAGTGGCAATGTTTACACACCACACCAGGTACTCATTTGAGGCTGAGTCGACCTAGGGGAGGGCCTGGACCGGTTCAGATAATCGTCACTGGTGTTGGCCGTGAGCGGGAATCGAACCCGAGTTGCCAGGTTCATAGCGCAGCGCACTAACCGCTACACTACCGCTCCCCACGCGTACACACACAGGCACACACACACTTTCACACGCACACTCACTTCCAACGGGAAGCTGGGACCCATTATATATCGAGGATGATTGCTCTGCCAAACAAAGGAGTTCCGCTGTTTAATTCGCGAGTACGTGCGAACGTTCGCAAGTCAGATGGTTAAAACAACAGCAACTGGCGGTTCAATCGTAAGGGTGGATGTTCGTCAGTCATACGTTCGTAAGGCGGGGACTGCTTGTATACCGCGCCTTCAATTTACACACTGCATCAACAACTCAAAAAAGGACTGAGACGAACTCGAACCAGTTCACATATTCGTAACTGTTATTGGGAATGAGTGGGAATCGAACTCAGGTAACCTGGCTCATCATACTACGCGAACCACAGCACCATCCTGCCTTGCGAGGAGATGGCAGTGCATCGAATGTGGACTCCACGCCTTCCATCTGTACGGACTCGAACGTTGCCCCCTCGCACGAGTGGGTTTTCTCTGGGTACTGCGATTTTTTTCCCCACTTGTAAACATTCTTTAATTCGTCGAAGTCTTCTTCGTATGAAGAGGACCGCAAAGCTTGGGGTAATTTGCTGTTTCCTCTCCCGCTTGTCTGTGGTTGGTCGCGCTTCTGAAATATTCTCTCTATTCAAGAGTGAGTGAATACTGTGAATAGCGTTTCACGTTTAAATTACACAGTATTATTGTCACAATGGGGTCCAACAAATAAAGAAATAAAAGCTACACACGACGAGTCGTGTTACCATGTGACGGGCATCACACTTGTATTTACAGCCCTCAGTGCCGAATATGGACAGCCCTTGTTCTCCATAACACCGAGTCCCCAACTCTGCCAATTGTATTCTTAATAAATAAATAGATGTATGCAATCCGACACACCTGATGACGACCGTTTGTGTTTTGGTCGAAACGTCGTGAGAATTTAAATTGTGTTATATATTTTATTATTTTATTGTTTCCTTTCAGCGTGACTTTACCGAAAAAGCTAAGAATATGAATTACTGCTGTCACGAAAGCTTTAAATCAAAATTTCTTCCATTTGTAGTCCACTAGAATATTGGCGGCACGTGACCGCCTTTCTCAACCTCATGCGGAGCGCTTCTCGGCGCTTCGCACCTCGCCCGTTGCCCCCCCACTGATGTCCTCTCCCCCCCCCACCCCTCCTTAATGTGTGCAGATACTAATTATTTTATTGTATGTAGGGTGTGTAGAAATTTATTTTGGCTACAAATGTAAACAAAATGGGGGGGGGGGGGCGGGGAAGTGCATTTTTTGGGGGGTTGACAATTTTCGGAAACCTGTTGGATCAACTTTTTACCCCCACATGTGGGGGGGGGGGGGGGGTTCACTTTCTAAAACTTTTTGAGTCAGGCCTTCTGCAAGGCTCTCATCATTTAGTTGACAGACAACGTTGCTCTTTTATAAATGATATACCGCGGGAGTGAGCATGCGTCCCCAACTCTTGAACCGGCCCGTGTCAAACTCCCACGACCGCTCTCTCTCTCTCGAGTCCAGATGCGCTACCCTGGCGTGCTCTCCCCACTTTGTCGCACTCCTGTGTCCACTCATGCCACACTCTTGACTCTCCTCCACATCTCGTAAACATTCCCCTCTGTACATCGAATTGCTATATCGAACCCCCTTACCCCCGCTCACTCTCCAAGTCGCCTTAGCTCCTCCGGATCTACATTTGCTTGATGTCTACTCCACCAACGTTGCAATATTTTTCAACTCGGTTCTTGACATCTGCTATCCTACCAGCTACCTGTTTCCTACTGATTAATTATTTACCAATATACTTTCTACCCCCTTCTCATGCTATTCATCTTACCCGTACGGCCTTGTCAACCATTCACATACCCATTGTTATGCTTAACATCACGATCCTTACCCTGGCTCTTATTCTCACCGTGCGTCCCCAATACTGCACTTGCTCAACCCCTACCCACGCTCTCGCTGCATGACATCCATCATTCCCAGTCTAAGATATTACACAGGCACGGGCGTACACACAAAGATAAGGTGAAATAGACACACAGACACGGAGACAGAGAGACAGAGAAAATGCATTTTCCTTTAGTCGGTTTGGGCAGGACACGTTGTTAGTCACGAACACCAACAGTATATCTAGGTGTTACAGGACAGGTTACTCGTCAATTACACCTACAGTACATCTAGGTGTTAGAGGTCACGAGTGGAGAGACTCGAAAACTGTCACACCTAGAACTTTGTGTTTATCTTTCTGTCTCTGTATGTCCATCTCCTTGATCACACAATGACTGAGATAGAGACGTGTCCTTCAAGCATCGCATGATTGCATTGCACATGCATGAATTGACTACTTTTTTTCTGTGACATTGCAAGGAATAAATTAGTTTATTTTGAATCCAATGTTAAATAAAATGCCATTTTATAAAAAATATTACCACGTAAAATTAGTAATGCAGAGGTCACCGTGTTGAACTCAAGTGAGTAGAGGAAAGGAATGACTCCGTTAAATAAATAAATAACACATATCGACGCTAGTGACGTCACAGTACGCGTTTCTAAACCACGTGTCACAACAGGAAATCTATAACCAGCGCGTCACGGCCGGAAATGATTGACGTTACTAAAGGGGCTGTCTGAGCACGTGATCACACTTGGACTTTGGCGACACGAGCGGCAAGATGCTCCTGCTACTGCTGCTGCTGCAGTTGGGCCCCGTGTCTGTTGGGAACGTCTTCCCCCTCTTCGCGGGCAAGGAGGAAGGCGACGTGGACTACCCCATACCAATGCCACCATGCCCGAAACCCGACATGGTCGTAATGTCATGGACTCTCGCGTTGCTTGCGAGTTGGTTCATATTGATGGCGATTACAATCATAGGCGTCATGTCGTGTCCTCGTCAGTGCTTCGGTATATTTCCTGTGCCAGGCGCTTTCCAAACTATTCGTTCTTATCCTTGTATATTTTCAGCTATGTCAACGCACAAACAACACTACGAGCTGCTGCGTCAGGCGAATGAGGTGCAGGAGGAGCGAGTCGCGATGATGTTTCAGAAGAACAAGGTGCTGCGCGAGCGGACGGAGGCGGCGCTTCGGGAGATGGAGGCGTTGCGTCGGGAGAATATTCTGCAACAGCGAGCGATCGAGTATCACGAGACGCTGCGTCAAGAAAGCCAGACGCTGCACGAGGAGAACGTGACGCTGTATCAGGAGATCGTGGCGCTGTTACAGCAGAAGGAGATGCTCCACCAGGAGATGGAGACGCTGAGTCTTGCCGCCACCACAGACGATGCCGCCACGGCCATCACTGCCGCCGCCTCCACGACCACCCTCACCAGCAGGCATCCCCACGACGACAGCCAAGACATCTAAATTTAGATGGCTCAGACAATTCTTCCTGTAAACTTTTCAATTTCGGGCAGTTTAAAGATCGCTTTAGCTTCAAGTTTGCCTCAACTAAAAAGTAACGAAAAGAATACGCGAATAAGAGCCCTCGTCTCGCCTTGAACAGACTGTTGGACAAATGCTATTAGCAAGAACCAATGACGGCCAGCATCGACACAAGAAGCGGTTGTTGAACAATGCCACGCCTGAAGATCTTCATCGTCCCAGTGCTGAAGTTTATACACCGCATTAAGAACTAATTTTTAGGCTAAAATAAAAAAAGAATTCCCAACTGTTATTGATCATAAGTTAGAATCGAACGCCGGTGGGCGGGTTCTTAACACTGAGCTAACTACAGTGCCACCGCTCTTGACACAGACATACACTCACACACATGTTAGGAATGAACACGCGTTTCGAAATGTCAATTTGTTTGAACCTCGGAACTCAATATTACATTTTATGTACTGCACATACTGGACGTAGAAATTGTTACCGCAAAAAAATATTAAGCATTGTTAAACTCATAAATAAGTAGTACTTTAGCGCGTAAAACTATTATAAATGCTGTAGGGCATATAAGTTATGCAATAAAGTAACTTGAAAAGAAAAACATCCGTCTCATTTTCACTTTGAGTGTTCATGCTGATCTGCTTGTCGGAAGGGGCATACTACGTCCTCAAAAATGCACACACACACGGGAGCACGCATACACAACGGCAAATATAAAGATCCCCCATACAGCCTTAACAGCCTGTAGGGGCAAGTGCTGTTAGCGAGCACCTATGAAGGCCGGAACGATACACGAGGGGGTGGGTGGCCAGCACCACGCCCGACCGCCTTTGTCTCCCTAGTGGCAATGTTTATACACCGCACCGAGTCGACCTAGGGGAGGCCCAGGACCGGTTTAGATAATCGTCACTAGTGTTGGCCGTGAGCGGGAATCGAATCCAGGACGCCGGGTTCGTAGCGCAGCTGTGCGGGCTACCGTCCCCCGCCATCGCTGAATTGTCGGGGCCGCTGCCCACCGACTCCCCCGTTCCACTCACACCGCTACCCCCCGGCTGCTCCGTCAGGTCCAAACTAACGACCCCTAACGTCTCGCCCCCCTGTACCTCTGCCTGGGATGTAGACCGCGTTTGCATAGTTTAATTAGCGGCTCGTACGCTCCGCGCTTGAGATGCGTTACACTGTGCAAAGGCGGGGTGGGGCTGTAAGCGCGCTCGCCAGTAAATCTCCGTCCCGCCCGTAAACAAACAGGCGCGGCGCGTGTTTCCCTCCCACCCGCGCTCCACGTGTGCCGACAATAACAAACACGCCCCTACCCTCTGCCCGTAAACAGACCAATCGCACACGAAGGGGTTGGAGCCGGGGGACGGGCGGGCAGGGTTTCTGCCGTGCGCGCCGCTGATTGGGGACGCTCGCTTGGCTCTGAGTTAAAGGTCCCGCTCAAACAGTGGCGCGAATACGCGCGCGCTCGGCGCTCTAACTCGCTATCTCACGACCAGACCCGTGTGCGGGTGCGTGACCGCGGCACCGCCACCCAGGTACGCGATCGCTAAGCACTATGGTGGGCAATCGTGCGGGCACGTAAACACCCCACGCTTCGTCTCGAGGTGCACAGCCGCGCATACACGTAGACACCCAGCGCACACTGCCCTCCACTTCACACTCCCAAAAGACCACGCAACACAGTTTTTTCCCCCCACTAGCGAATTTTATTTACCTGTGATGGTATGGTCAGTGGACGCTAATCTATCCCTCGGAGGTCTACGAGTCGATTTCCCCTACCGCTCGCCCCGCTCTCTATCCTGGATGTAAAACGGCTGAACTTACGCCTCTCTCACTCGTACTTACTTCTCCCCGATGTACTGACCGTTGTGAGGGAATGAGGCGACGAGCCTGTCGATGCTGGAGTACGTCTCACGGACGTCTCGGATGGCTGACTCTCCTGCTCCCGGGACCGCGATGATCTTGAACCAGAAGAAGAACCCCCCTTGCTACCCCAATCCCCCCTCCTTTTTATCCTACCTACAACAAAGGAATTTTTGCTCTTTCCGACCCTTGGCCTCCCGTCCAATCAGGGGCACGGATTCTCCCGCCCTTTCGATGTCCGGATCCCAGCTCAGATGACGTCGCCGCAGTGATCTCACCGACGTCCGCTCTCTGTTCTCCCGCTAGCTACCAGTCCTTGACCCGTGCATGTGTGAGGCTCCACTCGCGGTGGTTCGATGGCCCTTGCCGCGACCATGCAACTTTAATATCAGGTCGCGGCGCCGCAGTGCATGTCAGCTACAGGGGGGAAGATCGCCCAATTTCCCGGCCGCAGGAAACCATGAAGTTCGATCCCACTAGGGACTTCTGGACACTAGGGACTTCTGGCCCCGGGAGAGTGGCGGGAAATCCGCGGCATAGGTGATGGCGCCGCGGTAGTGGGCGCGGTTCCGCTGGAGCGGCTCCGCTGCGGCGGCAGCACACAGCGCGCTAACCGCTACACTACCGCTCCCCACGCGTACACACACACACACAGCCACACAACAAAGATCCCCCGTATAGCCTTAACAGACTGTAGGGGCAAGTGCTGTTAGCGAGCACCTATGAAGGCCGGATCGGTACACGAGGGGGTGGGTGGCCAGCATCACGCCCGACCGCCTTTGTCGCCCTAGTGGCAATGTTTACACACCACACCAGGTACTCATTTGAGGCTGAGTCGACCTAGGGGAGGGCCCTGGACCGGTTCAGATAATCGTCACTGGTGTTGGCCGTGAGCGGGAATCGAACCCGAGTTGCCAGGTTTCATAGCGCAGCGCACTAACCGCTACACTACCGCTCCCCACGTGTACACACACAGGCACACACACACTTTCACACGCACACTCACTTCCAACGGGAAGCTGGGACCCATTATATATCGAGGATGATTGCTCTGCCAAACAAAGGAGTTCCGCTGTTTAATTCGCGAGTACGTGCGAACGTTCGCAAGTCAGATGGTTAAAACAACAGCAACTGGCGGTTCAATCGTAAGGGTGGATGTTCGTCAGTCATACGTTCGTAAGTCGGGGACTGCTTGTATACCGCGCCTTCAATTTACACACTGCATCAACAACTCAAAAAAGGACTGAGACGAACTCGAACCAGTTCACATATTCGTAACTGTTATTGGGAATGAGTGGGAATCGAACTCAGGTAACCTGGCTCATCATACTACGCGAACCACAGCACCATCCTGCCTTGCGAGGAGATGGCAGTGCATCGAATGTGGACTCCACGCCTTCCATCTGTACGGACTCGAACGTTGCCCCCTCGCACGAGTGGGTTCTCTGGGTACTGCGATTTTTTTCCCCACTTGTAAACATTCTTTAATTCGTCGAAGTCTTCTTCGTATGAAGAGGACCGCAAAGCTTGGGGTAATTTGCTGTTTCCTCTCCCGCTTGTCTGTGGTTGGTCGCGCTTCTGAAATATTCTCTCTATTCAAGAGTGAGTGAATACTGTGAATAGCGTTTCACGTTTAAATTACACAGTATTATTGTCACAATGGGGTCCAACAAATAAAGAAATAAAAGCTACACACGACGAGTCGTGTTACCATGTGACGGGCATCACACTTGTATTTACAGCCCTCAGTGCCGAATATGGACAGCCCTTGTTCTCCATAACACCGAGTCCCCAAACTCTGCCAATTGTATTCTTAATAAATAAATAGACGTATGCAATCCGACACACCTGATGACGACCGTTTGTGTTTTGGTCGAAACGTCGTGAGAATTTAAATTGTGTTATATATTTTATTATTTTATTGTTTCCTTTTCAGCGTGACTTTACCGAAAAAGCTAAGAATATGAATTACTGCTGTCACGAAAGCTTTAAATCAAAATTTCTTCCATTTGTAGTCCACTAGAATATTGGCGGCACGTGACCGCCTTCCTCAACCTCATGCGGAGCGCTTCTCGGCGCTTCGCACCTCGCCCGTTGCCCCCCCACTGATGTCCTCTCCCCCCCCCACCCCCTCCTTAATGTGTGCAGATACTATTATTTTATTGTATGTAGGGTGTGTAGAAATTTATTTTGGCTACAAATGTAAACAAAATGGGGGGGGGGCGGGGAAGTGCATTTTTTGGGGGGTTGACAATTTTCGGAAACCTGTTGGATCAACTTTTTACCCCCACATGTGGGGGGGGGGGGGTTCACTTTCTAAAACTTTTTGAGTCAGGCCTTCTGCAAGGCTCTCATCATTTAGTTGACAGACAACGTTGCTCTTTTATAAATGATATACCGCGGGAGTGAGCATGCGTCCCCAACTCTTGAACCGGCCCGTGTCAAACTCCCACGACCCGCTCTCTCTCTCTCGAGTCCAGATGCGCTACCCTGGCGTGCTCTCCCCACTTTGTCGCACTCCCTGTGTCCCACTCATGCCACACTCTGACCTCTCCTCCACATCTCGTAAACATTCCCCTCTGTACATCGAATTGCTATATCGAACCCCCTTACCCCCGCTCACTCTCCAAGTCGCCTTAGCTCCTCCGGATCTACATTTGCTTGATGTCTACTCCACCAACGTTGCAATATTTTTCAACTCGGTTCTTGACATCTGCTATCCTACCAGCTACCTGTTTCCTACTGATTAATTATTTACCAATATACTTTCTACCCCCTTCTCATGCTATTCATCTTACCCGTACGGCCTTGTCAACCATTCTCACATACCCATTGTTATGCTTAACATCACGATCCTTACCCTGGCTCTTATTCTCACCGTGCGTCCCCAATACTGCACTTGCTCAACCCCTACCCACGCTCTCGCTGCATGACATCCATCATTCCCAGTCTAAGATATTACACAGGCACGAGCGTACACACAAAGATAAGGTGAAATAGACACACAGACACGGGACAGAGAGACAGAGAAAATGCATGTTCCTTTAGTCGGTTTGGGCAGGACACGTTGTTAGTCATTAACACCAACAGTATATCTAGGTGTTACAGGACAGGTTACTCGTCACTTACACCTACAGTACATCTAGGTGTTTAGAGGTCACGAGTGGAGAGACTCGAAAACTGTCACACCTAGAACTTTGTGTTTATCTTTCTGTCTCTGTATGTCCATCTCCTTGATCACACAATGACTGAGATAGAGACGTGTCCTTCAAGCATCGCATGATTGCATTCACATGCATGAATTGACTACTTTTTTCTGTGACATTGCAAGGAATAAATTAGTTTATTTTGAATCCAATGTTAAATAAAATGCCCATTTTATAAAAAAATATTACCACGTAAAATTAGTAATGCAGAGGTCACCGTGTTGAACTCAAGTGAGTAGAGGAAAGGAATGACTCCGTTAAATAAATAAATAACACATATCGACGCTTAGTGACGTCACAGTCGCGTTTCTAAACCACGTGTCACAACAGGAAATCTATAACCGCGCGTCACGGCCGGAAATGATGACGTTACTAAAGGGGCTGTCTGAGCACGTGATCACACTTGGACTTTGGCGACACCAGCGGCAAGATGCTCCTGCTACTGCTGCTGCTGCAGTTGGGCCCCGTGTCTGTTGGGAACGTCTTCCCCCTCTTCGCGGGCAAGGAGGAAGGCGACGTGGACTACCCCATACCAATGCCACCGTGCCCGAAACCCGACATGGTCGTAATGTCATGGACTCTCGCGTTGCTTGCGAGTTGGCTCATATTGATGGCGATTACAATCATAGGCGTCATGTCGTGTCCTCGTCAGTGCTTCGGTATATTTCCTGTGCCAGGCGCTTTCCAAACTATTCGTTCTTATCCTTGTATATTTTCAGCTATGTCAACGCACAAACAACACTACGAGCTGCTGCGTCAGGCGAATGAGGTGCAGGAGGAGCAAGTCGCGATGATGTTTCAGAAGAACAAGGTGCTGCGCGAGCGGACGGAGGCGGCGCTTCGGGAGATGGAGGCGTTGCGTCGGGAGAATATTCTGCAACAGCGAGCGATCGAGTATCACGAGACGCTGCGTCAAGAAAGCCAGACGATGCACGAGGAGAACGTGACGCTGTATCAGGAGATCGTGGCGCTGTTACAGCAGAAGGAGATGCTCCACCAGGAGATGGAGACGCTGAGTCTTGCCGCCACCACAGACGATGCCGCCACGGCCATCACTGCCGCCGCCTCCACGACCACCCTCACCAGCAGGCATCCCCACGACGACAGCCAAGACATCTAAATTTAGATGGCTCAGACAATTCTTCCTGTAAACTTTTCAATTTGGGCAGTTTAAAGATCGCTTTAGCTTCAAGTTTGCCTCAACTAAAAAGTAACGAAAAGAATACGCGAATAAGAGCCCTCGTCTCGCCTTGAACAGACTGTTGGACAAAGTGCTATTAGCAAGAACCAATGACGGCCAGCATCGACACAAGAAGCGGTTGTTGAACAATGCCACGCCTGAAGATCTTCATCGTCCCAGTGCTGAAGTTTATACACCGCATTAAGAACTAATTTTTAGGCTAAAATAAAAAAAGAATTCCCAACTGTTATTGATCATAAGTTAGAATCGAACGCCGGTGGGCGGGTTCTTAACACTGAGCTAACTACAGTGCCACCGCTCTTGACACAGACATACACTCACACACATGTTAGGAATGAACACGCGTTTCGAAATGTCAATTTGTTTGAACCTCGGAACTCAATATTACATTTTATGTACTGCACATACTGGACGTAGAAATCTGTTACCGCAAAAAAATATTAAGCATTGTTAAACTCATAAATAAGTAGTACTTTAGCGCGTAAAACTATTATAAATGCTGTAGGGCATATAGTTATGCAATAAAGTAACTTGAAAAGAAAAACATCCGTCTCATTTTCACTTTGAGTGTTCATGCTGATCTGCTTGTCGGAAGGGGCATACTACGTCCTCAAAAATGCACACACACACGGGAGCACGCATACACAACGGCAAATATAAAGATCCCCCATACAGCCTTAACAGCCTGTAGGGGCAAGTGCTGTTAGCGAGCACCTATGAAGGCCGG